CTCTCTCTCTCTCTCTCTCTCTCTCTCTCTCTCTCTCTCTCTCTCTCTCTCTCTCTCTCTCTCTCTCTCTCTCTCTCTCTCTCTCTCTTCCACCAGCCAACTCCAGCCTCTGAGATAGTGGCATCGGACGGGATTTGAAGTTTGAACTCCTGACCTGTGTTTGTTCTTATGTCAGCTTCGAAGTGATACACAACAGACAAAACAGTCATCCCAAGCTTCATAGCCAGGAAGGATCTATGGCCTCATCAATGCCATCATCCATTCTATGGACAGTTCTGAGTTTTCACAGCATTCCGATAGTAGCGCTGTCCACATAAGAAAGGTCTCAGTCAAGCCCTATGCCCATTCTCACTTAGCCAAAGAGACTCGCTAATGAGACTGAGATCTAGATTAAGCTTTTGGATGTCCTAAGCCCAGATTCCCATTGCAGAAGCCATCTCTCTTCTTTTTTTTTTTTTTTTTTTTTTTTTTTTTTTGCAGTAGCCATCTCTCTGACTCAGCCATATACAAAAATTGTGGAATTTGGTTGCGTCTAAAAGAACCTAAATCAATGTCCAAATTTCAAGCCCACCTTAAAGTACAACTCGAACACACAAGGTATCGAATCATAGCCATCCCTTATCAAGTTGTGAGAGCTATCAAGCTACCATGATTCTGTTCCCATAGGTTCCCCCAGAGAGAGCAAACTGGCCAAAACAGAAAGGAACTTAACCAAAAAAGGGGAAAAATCTTCAAGAAACATAATTATCAAATGATGATAACTTCAAAAATTTTAATCCTTAGCTACGACTCTACGAGTCTAGAACTATGCGATTCTGCTTCCATAGGTCTCACCAGAGCAGCAAACTGCCCAAAACAAAGGAGTTTAACTGAAACGACCAGCACCTCACCCAGGCAAACGTGAGAATCGAAAATGCGACAATCCAGGTGCTTGGATGAACAGGGTACCCGACTAAAATGGCTGGCGCTGCCAGCCAAAGGAAAATGTCCACTTGGCAGTTCGTCTTTTTCTGGCACGCAAGGGGAATCAGCCTTGGCAAAAAGACTCTTGTTGGCTTGAATGGGACAAGAGAAAGGACATAGCTATGACATGATATCTTTAAAGTTTAAAACTGGTGTCTGACGCAGCCGTTAGCATGCTGCATCCTTCCGGGCTGGGCCTACCTTACCAAGATGGCTGGCATCACCAGGCAAAGACAGATGCATGGGTCCTGGGGACCATCTCACGCAAGTGTGCACCTGCCATGCATCGTAATCCCACACACAATGAACAGTAGTCTCACAACAGACAAAGATAGAGGAGATGAGGACCGAGTTTCACAGCTTATATTATCAGAGATATGAATACAAAGTGTTTCAAAGTTCCCATGAGTCCAGCACTCATCAGCGCAACACCAATATCTTGCCAACTCATCAATATGACTTCCAGTGAATCAGCGCTACCCCTGCAGATAGTCTCCAAGTCATCAATGTGGTCACTACTCATCAGCGCCACCTCTGCAGGTCACATCCAACTCAGGTAAGTATCTTCCATAGCCAAACCTTGAATGAACACTCTCAGCCTCAATCCCTTCCTCCTATGATGCATACACACTCTTTAATACTCATGAGGATCTACTCTGGATACTACTCATAGCTATGTACTAACCCTCTACTACTAATACTAAACTCACTGGGCAGCTATGGCTGCATCACTTCCAGCGTACAGGCTTCTTCCTCCCTCCAGCGCATCTTCTCCTCCAGCGCTGTTCCTCCTGACTCAGCGCACAAGTGCACCAGCACTTCCACGCATTGCAGCCAGTGGAGATCTGGCGAGAAATGAGGCAGGCAGCTCCCTTTATAGTGCTGGCCACTCCTCGCTGGGTCTGCATTGGCTCAATTCGGCCTCTCCTTTGTCCC